CCATCGCTCCAGCTCCATCTTCGTGGTACCTGCATCAAGGCGCCAACTTCACAGGTTAGTACTGGACACAGAGAGAGAGAGAGTTCTTCTTCTTCCTCTTCTAAGTCCACCTTCTCTTCTCACCCTCTCGCCACCTGACTTCTCAGACTTCGACAGAGAGCGACAGAGTTGTGACTTGAGACTTGACGACATTGGATCCAGACTTGACATTTGGGATTCAGACAGTTTGACGAGGGACTATTCGGGCTTGTGCCGAAGACTTGGTGTTGACGACATTCCCATCTTCCCCCTCCTCTTCGTCTATCCCCTTCCTCCTCGTCTGTGCATGTTCTGGGCTGGCGCTGTCTTCCTGTGTGAAACGCCAGACCCATTCACACTATGAAACGATGATGATGATGTATGTTCAGGGCTGCATTACAACATTGATTGTTCGGATCACTGGTATCTAAGCCTTCCGCTGTGCTATCTTATACCTTGTATTGAAAGGTCGGTTCTTGTTCTGGTCTGCACCTATACGGTATGCAACAGGAGGGAACAGACGAAGAAGAGGGGGGGAGATGGGAATGTTGTCAAGTCTTTGTTACAAGTCCCAAATAATCCCTCGTCAAAATGTCTGAAGCCCAAATGTCGAGTCTGGATCCAAATGTCACCAAACCCGCTCTCTCATAGTCTGCTGATGCAGTGAAGTCAGGTAGCGAGAGGGTGAGATGGAGATGGTGGACTGAGAAGAGGAAGAAGAAGGTCTCTCATATGCCAGGTACTAACCTGTGAAGTTGGCGCTGTGCTGCAGGTACCTCGAAGGCGAAGCTGGAGCTATGGCGCTGCAGGTAAGTATCCCTGGCCTCCGCCCAATCTCTCTCTCTCTAGTACTACTCTAGCTCCTATGGCGCCCAGCGCTGAAGACTACTGCTAGCGCTACAACTACTCCTGCAGCGCTCCTCCAGAGTGCTGCTGCCGAATCCTGAAGACTACCTCCTGCCTCCTGAACTGCACGTGAAGTGCCTGGGAAGTACCTAGGAACTACCGGCCGGCCTGCAGGGCGGGCCAGTCCTATATAGTGCTGGCCCGTCCAGGAGACTGCTCTTGCCAATGCCGAAACGTGCCAGACCCTGGCGTGGAAGCTCAACCAGGGGTTGTCTTGAAAACAGGCCTGAAATGGCCTGTGCTAAAACCCTGCTTTGTTGCCTGAGTTTCAGGGCGGGTCGAACTGATGAGGGCCTGAAAATGGCCCTCAGTTTCAGGCTGAAAACACTCAGGGCCGGAAAGGCCCTGATTTAGCCTGAAACGACACAGGGCCTGTAGGCCCTTGTTTTCAGGCTTTCAGGCTGAAACGAAACGGGGCCTGTAGGCCCTTGTTTTCAGGCTTTTCGCCTGAAAACGTCACGGGCCTGAAAGGGGGCCCGTGCAGCCTGTTGCAGGTGCAGCATGTAACACAGATCGCAGTTTTTGAAATGTGGCGTGCTACAGTCTTCCCCCGAATACAACGTACGGTCATTATAGCTGAATTTGGGGTATCTTTCAGTCTAAATTCGGCTATAATGACTGTCCGTTGCATTCAGGGGAAGACTGTAGTTCGTCCCTGCTACGGCCATCCTTCGCTTCACATCATCGATAACTTTTTTGTGCTCTCTGAAATGTCTGCCATGGTTGAGAAGAAGTGGAACAACACCGGAACAGAAGCGTGGACCACAAACTTTTGGTGGAACAGGCATGGAACAGAAGGGTACCACACAGTTCTGGTGACTTCAAAATTCAAATGGAACAGGACCGGATTCACTGGAACAGAGGTGTACACAGAAAATGGGACACAAGTGTACGCCTCTGTTCCAGCTAGACTCTCGGGTACACTTCTGTTCCACTTTCTGTACCATAAAGTGCAGGGGGAACATAAAAGTGGAACACAAGTGTACTTTATGTTCCCCCTGCACTTTCTGGTACAGAAGTGGAACAGAAAAAGTGGACCACAAAGTTTATCCATCCTCTTTACTGCACTTAAAAAGTGTCATGTTCGTTTCTGCTCTTGATCTGTATATTATTATATTTTGTTTGATGATATATACATATTACATATACATTATAAATAGTAAATTTAACTTATAATACCGTTTTTTTTTTTTTTTTCTAAGAGTAAAAACTCTTATTTTATTATTATATAATAATAAGAAATTAACAATGTTAATTATATTCTAGTTAATGACTGTTAATCCTATTGAAGACTTGACGACGTAACATACAGTAAATACCAAATGGACAGATGGAAGGTCAGGTGCAGAATCTTTTACTCGCTTATATACGTCCCCAAACACTAAACCCTTAACCCTAACTCTCTCTCTCTCTTTCTCTCTCTCTCTCTCTCTCTCTCTCTCTCTCTCTCTCTCTCTCTCTCTCTCTCCTGTCTCTTATACACATCTAGATGTGTATAAGAGACAGCAGTACTACAGACATGTAGTATGTTCAGCGGGAAATTGTCACGCGGAAAAAATCCGTGTTGGGAAAACAAGACGCAGATGGACTGGTGGGTTAAGGTGCCTTTTTTTTTTTTTTTTTTTTTTTTTTTTGGAAAATCATTGCGGAGGCATACATGTGATAAAAAAGCAGTGGGTAGAAGTAACAGATATGCATAATTCCAAGTTGTGTGAGTACGTACAAGCACCACGTATCTGGTACTCCTGGGGCGCATATCTATTACGTCTCAGATCAATCAGAATACAGTACTATACACTACACCCACCCCATGTGGTACGTGCATGCAACTGTCAATGAACAGGTCGTGAGTTCGAATCCAACGCTAGGTGTTACCCCCCTTTCGGGAAAAAAATAAAATAAAATAAAAATCATCATACAGTAGTATACACTGTACAGTGTATAGTACATATATTAGGTAATAAGGCCATACAGGTCATGAGTTCGAATCCAACGCTGGGTGCTCCAAGACTTTCTGGAATGAATCTGACCATAGTGATTTCTGTGAGATACGATACTCACGGCAAGTCCAAGTGTGAATACGTGCTAAGTCGCTGTTTTTTCTTAATCATGGATATGCACAATTCTTAACCATGGGTATGTACTATGTAGCATAGACTATCTGGCTACCAGCCTATAGAATAGGGGGGCTGTATAGTCTAGTATAGGGGGGCCTGTATAGTATGTTTTATGGATATGTGTTGTGTGTAGGATAGACTAGAGAATACTATAAGGGGACTGTATACAGTGTATACACTGTATAGTATGTACTGGCTACCAGCCTTTAGTACAGGGGGCCTGTATAGTTTAGCATAGAGGGACTGTATAGTATGTAATATGGATATGTACTATGTAGTACAGACTATACTATACTATAGCTCTGCACTACGTATTATAGGGGGACTGTATAGTATGTAATATGGATACATAGTATGGTAGTATAGACTATACTATAGTATAGTCTATGACTGTATAAATACAAATCTATATATATGTACTACGTAGTATAGAGTGTACTATACTATAGGGAAACTCTATACATCCTGTATAGTTTAGTATAGAGGGACTGTATAGTCTGTAATATGGATATGTACTATGTACTATGTAGTATACACTATACTGTGACTATAGTATACTATAGGGGGACTGTATAGTAGGTGATATGGATATGTAGTATGTACTATGTAGTATGTAGTATAGACTATGCTATAGACTATACTATAGTATAGGGGGACTGTATAGGTACAAATCTTACAAAGAACATAGCTGCGGAGCAGGCAAACGGTTTGCTGCACTTTACAGTCATCACAACTCACAGCATTAAACCACCATTGAGGTTGATTGAACTTCCTCCTGAGAAATTGCCCCAGCCCTTGCAAACGTGTGTAAACAGAAGGAATTTTTTAAGGAAAATGTGGCCGTAAGATCGTCAATCCAACGGTCCAAGTTGCGAATGGGAAGGACTCCTGATATAACCGGCTTCCCCTGCATGCATCTGACCAGAAATACGTCCGAGGGTCGTAAAAGGTTAGTTAGTAGTGGTTGACGAGGCATTGCATGTGCGCAATCACGGGTCACGACGCATGACCACCAGTACAATCCATAGAGACACTAACATTCCTTTTTCAAAACTCAAACTCGGGTAATAGGACGAAAACATCTTGCATTCGTTTACGACGTTACTTTTTAACTTTATGATGATTTTGAGTCGATTACACCCTTCTAAAAAGGGAGGGGGAGGGGGGAAAGAAGAAGGAAAAAGAAGGGCACGGGAGGGTATGCTTGTCGCTCACCCATCATGTACGGTACGCAGATGCTTGTCATCACTCTTTGGGAGCATCGTCAATAAGACGCCATGATCCTCTTCGTCTCCTCCTCCAATTGGTAAGACAACCAGCTTGGTAGAGGAGCTGGACTGCTGCTGCATCGTCTCACGAGCTTCCTCCTCGCTCACACTGTCTTCCATATCTGCTGTTTCCTTTGTGAAGTTTGTGGTTGGCCTCGTCGTTCGTCCGGAATCTTGTGCGGTGGATTTTGTCATTCGCTCACCGCCTCTCCACTTCTTCACGATTGCCTTCTTTGGCATCCGCCGACCGACGGCCGCTTGCTTAGAGTTCAGACAACCGCAACAATCTTCCTCGATATCTGTGATCTCCTTTGGGATCGATCTTGTCGATGTCAATGCCGATGTCGATGTCGATGCCGATGTCGATGTCATCCTCTCGTCAATCCTTTGCGGCTCCAGCAATCTGCTGCTCTCTGTATCCATCATCTGCGGCTGAATAACATTCTCGTTTTCCGCTGCGCTTTTATCCCCCCCATCTACCTCTCGCTGATCGACCTCCCCCTTGCCACCGTTTGCCGCCTTATTGATGTCTCCCTCCTCATTAACCTCTCGCTCATTTACATCTCCTATACCCCTTACGATATCGATCACCACCCCTTGCTGTTCTAGAATGGGCGACTTGAACTGTGCAGTTTGCCCATCCTGCCCCTCCTTTCTGTACTCAAGACCACCAGACGACTGTGTTAGTGATTTCACTCTTCATGGCCCAATGATGAAGAGTTTAAGAATGGAATTACCAGCTAAGGAACCAGCGGTGATAATTAGTGCTGCATATTAAAAAAAAAAAAAAGATAAAAAAAGCAAAAAAAAAAGCAAAAAAGCCTAAAAAGGGAAAAAAAGGACAAAAAAGGAAAAATAAAGGAAAGTTTTCCGAAAAAAAAAAAAAAAAAAGATTTCGCTCATCACGATGTTCTTTTGCAGACAGAAAGAGAGACACACGGTCCGGCAAGACTGATCCAGCCTGAGAACGGAGCAGATCAGATGCACCCAGAAAAAAAGGTCAACGAGGCAATTGCCACGGAAGTGCCGGAACAGCATTTGTAAAGCAAGGGCATGTGCAATAAGTTGCTGATAACCCTCACAGTTTTCAATGCTGAGAGAACTCGAGTTTTTTTTTTTTTTTCCAATGTTTTTTGCGCTGAGCAGATTTGTGTGGTTTGACGAGATTCGCTTGTTGAGATTCTGAGTTGGGCTTGTATTCGATCTGGACCGAGGTTTCTGAAATTGCTTTGAAAATTTGAAAGGGTAGTATTGGATGAATCTAACTTTATCCAAGCCTATTCCCAATTTTAATTGAAACGGTTTTCACCTCCGCAATAGCGGATGCAGATCCCAGGGCTCGATCCCTAGCCCTCACTTACCTGTGTACAGTACCCCTGTGTGTTTGAACCTGTGTTACATGCTGCGCCTGCCCACGAGGGCCATTTTCCAGGCCCTGCGTCCCTCAGGCTGAAAGCCTGACAACCAGGGCCTACAGGCCCCGTGTCTGTTTCAGCCTGACAGCCTGAAAACCAAGGCCTACAGGCCCCGTGTCTGTTTCAACCTGACAGCCTGAAAACCAGGGCCTACAGGCCCCGTGTCTGTTTCAGCCTGACAGCCTGAAAACCAGGGCCTACAGGCCCCGTGTCTGTTTCAGTCTGACAGCCTGAAAACCAGGGCCTACAGGCCCCRTGTCGTTTCAGCCTGACAGCCTGAAAACAAGGGCCTATAGGCCCTCAGGCTTTAGCCAGAAGCTACCTGGAAACTTCCCAGAAGCTTCCTCAGGCTTTAGCCAGAAGCTACCTGGAAACTTCCCGGAAGCTTCCTCAGGGTCTAGCACGTTTGGGCATTGGCAAGAGCAGCCTCCTGGACGGGCCAGCACTATATAAGACTGGCCCGCCCTACGGGCAGGAGGTAGTCTTCAGGATTCGGCAGCAGCACTCTGGAGGAGCGCTGCAGGAGTAGTATTAGCGCTAGCAGTAGTCTTCAGTGCTGGGCGCTTCGTAGCGTTAGCAGTAGTCTTCAGCGCTGGGCGCCATAGCTAGAGTAGTACCAGAGATAGAGAGATTGGGCGGAGGCCAGGAATACTTACCTGCAGCGCCGTTGCTCCAGCTTCATCTTTGAGGTACCTGCAGCACAGCGCCATCTTCACGGGTTAGTACCTGACACATGAGAGAGAGAGTTCTTCTTCTTCCTCTTCTCAGTCCACCATCTCCTTCTCACCCTCCCGCTATCTGACTTCACTGCATCAGCAGACTATGAGAGAGAGAGAGAGAGAGCTTGGTGACATTTGGATCCAGACTCGACATTGGACTTCAGACATATCGAAGAGGGATTATTTGGGATTTGAAACGAGACTTGGTGTTGACGACTTTCCCATCTCCCCCTTCCTCTTCTTCGTCTGATCCCCTCCTCTTCGTCTGTGTATGTCTGGACCTGGCACCTCTTTCCTGTGTATAGC